ATCGGACATTGTTTCATTCTGCTGTGCATGGGGTCACTATGAGTCGGTTCCGACTCGATGGCACCTGACAACGACAACAACAATATGACAGTATTTATCCTGGTGTGGCACTTTGTGATAATGCACTAGACCGCAAGGTTGGTTTGAACTGCAAGGCCGGCGGTTCAGATTCACCAGTTGCTCCTTGGAAACCCTGTACAGTGTCGCTATGAGTCAGAACGAACTCAACAGCACTTAACAATACAAAGTACTAAGCCAAGAACAGAAACACAGTAATGGGAAATATGTAATTGAAATTGTCCATAAAGCCAGTGGTACACGTCATAAAATGGATAGCATTTTTTATGCCTAGGGGTCAGTCTCATATTGGGCCTGGGGTAATGAAGGGGCTTTGACCTAATTATATGTTAGAGTTCATGTATTCCGTTGAGATCTGTAAATGTTTTCAGTTAAAACTTATTCAAAAGATTTGCCAATGTAGCTTCCAAAAATATATAAGTAAAAATAACTCGGATAAGAATGGTACTCTGGGGCAATGCAGGGTGGGGGACATCCACATGGGCAGCTTGCCAGCCCCCCTCCCTGGGCCAAGCTGCCCCCCTTGGGCAGACTCTACACTGCAGAGCTGAGATTTTCCCAGGGTGCACTGTATTCCTGGAAAGCCCGGCAACGCAGTTGGTACAGCCAGGGTGGTAGGCCAGGCAGGGCAGAGAAGTGGGCTGCAGAGGGGGTTTGCAGTGGCCTGGGGTCTCTGAGCAGGATGCAAGGTCCTGGCTGAGTCAGGAGAGGTGTTTTTCTAATGGGGATACTTGAGACATCAGTTGAATTTGCAAGTTTGACTCCTGGGGGCAGGAGGCCGCACCATATGAATAGGTACTGGCTAGAACTTTCTCAATCAGGGTGGCAGCAAAGGCCTGAGTAGGGTCCTGCCTGAGAGACAGGACCCAGGTTTGCAGGTCCCTGAACTGTCTGTTCTCTCCCTCTCTCCTACAGGATGAAGATGAGACGCTACAAGCTCTTTCTCATGTTCTGTATGGCCGGCCTATGTCTTATCTCCTTCCTGCACTTCTTTAAGACCCTGTCCTACGTCACCTTTCCCCGGGAACTGGCCTCCCTCAGTCCTAACCTCGTGTCCAGCTTCTTCTGGAACAATGCCCCCGTCACGCCCCAGGTCAGTCCCGAGCCGGGTGGCCCTGACCTGCTGCGCACCCCGCTCTACTCCCATTCGCCCTTGCTCCAGCCATTGTCTCCGAGCAAGGCCACTGAGGAGCTCCACCGGATGGACTTTGTGCTGCCTGAGGACACCACAGAATATTTCATCCGCACCAAAGCGGGAGGCGTCTGCTTCAAGCCAGGTACCAAGATGCTGGAGAAGCCGCCACCGGGGCGGCCAGAGGAGAAGCTAGATGGCGCGGATGGCTCTTCCGCCCGGGGTCCCTCTCGCCACCTCCTGAGCACCAAGGAGCGGCCAGGGAGCCGGGGTACGCGGCGCAAGTGGGTGGAGTGCGTGTGCCTGCCTGGCTGGCACGGACCCAGCTGCGGGGTGCCCACCGTGGTGCAGCACTCGAACCTGCCCACCAAAGAGAGACTGGTGCCCAGGGAGGTGCCGCGGCGGGTCATCAACGCCATCAACATCAACCATGAGTTTGACTTGCTGGACGTGCGCTTCCATGAGCTGGGTGATGTGGTGGACGCCTTCGTGGTGTGCGAATCCAACTTCACTGCGTACGGGGAGCCGCGGCCGCTCAAGTTCCGCGAGATGTTGGTCAACGGCACCTTCGAATACATCCGCCACAAGGTGCTCTATGTCTTCCTGGACCATTTCCCGCCCGGGGGCCGGCAGGACGGCTGGATCGCTGATGACTACCTGCGCACCTTCCTGACACAGGATGGCGTCTCCCGGCTGCGCAACCTGCGTCCCGACGACGTCTTCATCATCGACGACGCAGATGAGATCCCCGCCCGAGACGGTGTCCTCTTCCTCAAGCTCTATGACGGCTGGACGGAACCCTTCGCCTTCCACATGCGCAAATCGCTCTACGGCTTTTTCTGGAAGCAGCCGGGCACCCTGGAGGTGGTGTCGGGTTGCACCGTGGACATGCTGCAGACAGTCTATGGGCTGGATGGCATCCGCCTGCGCCGCCGCCAGTACTACACCATGCCCAACTTCCGACAGTATGAGAACCGCACGGGCCACATCCTGGTGCAGTGGTCACTGGGCAGCCCGCTGCACTTTGCCGGTTGGCACTGTTCCTGGTGTTTCACCCCCAAGGGCATCTACTTCAAGCTCGTGTCCGCCCAGAATGGTGACTTCCCCCGCTGGGGGGACTATGAGGACAAGCGGGACCTCAACTACATCCGGAGCCTGATCCGCACCGGAGGCTGGTTTGATGGCACCCAACAGGAGTACCCGCCAGCTGATCCCAGTGAACACATGTACGCCCCTAAGTACCTGCTCAAGAACTACAATCAGTTCCGCTACCTGCTGGAAAACCCCTACCAGGAGCCCAAGAGTACGGTGGCAGGCAGTCAGCGGAACAAGGATGCCCAGGGCAGGCCACTGGCCAGGGGAGAGTTGGACGCGGTGGAAGGCTAAGGCTGCGTGATCTGATTGGGCCAGGGGTGGCCGGTGGCCAGGGGTGGCTGCTGCCTAGAATATTATGTTCTGTCATCTTTTGAGAGAGCCAGGTGTGGGTGAGTGGGGGTCTTCCCTACTCAAACCCTCCTGAGTTAAGAGTCCGGTCTTTGAGTTCACCAACATGCTGTGTGGTCAGGAGAGCAACACAGCCCCAGATGTCTGTGCAGCCTTTTACCTGCCAAGAGTGCTGTGGCCGGAAGTGCCAATCGAGGGTGCATGATGGGTACTAGTGAGCAGGGGAGGGCGGGGAGGGGGAGTGTGGCAGAACTCACCTGGGCCAGGCCTGGGAGTTGGGGCCCTAACCTGGAGCGGCCAGCCATTGGGCATCTGGGGGCTTTTGCGCTGCAGAGGGGATGAGGTACCAGGAGGTCTTGGGGCTCTGGACGCAGATATATTTGTGTCTAGGAGGGGATGAGAGCAGCGTCCAGCTGGTGGGGGCTTTGCGGTGTGCTCAGAACTTCCAGTCCGAGCGAGAAGCGGCTGCCCTCCCAGTCCCTGGACACCATAGTGCCCCTCAGGGTTTTCAGCCCCCGCCCCGACTTCCCTTCTCACAGTTTGCATTGCTCCACAGTGCGGGCTCTCGGGGTTTGCGGAGTCCCAACTGCAGTTCTCAGGTGGGGTGGGTGGTGAATAGGTCAGGTCTGGGAGCTGAGAGGGGAGGAGGCTGAGCATTCACCCTCTCCCCAAACCCCCCCTGCCAGGACTCCCACCCCCAGTTCTCCACCATCTCAGGTAGTATCACTCATGGGCCCCTCCTGAGGGCTGACTAGGGGACAGGAAAGGACCATGAGGCTACCATCCCAGTCTTCGTAGTTTGCCTCAGAGGGGCAGGGAGTATATCTGTTGGGGAAGATTCTAAGCTGCTGTAATTAAGAGACCCCCCAAATACAGTGGTTTAACAGAACAAAACATTTCAAATTTAAGTGTCTAGAGGGAGATGGTCCAGGGTTAGTAGAGCAGCTCTGCTTGCCTTCATATATATATATCTTTCCATTCTGGAAGCAGAGTGGCTGCTGCAGCCCCCACCATCACATGTGCATCCAAGCCAGGGAGGAGCAGAAAAAGGCAAGGGAAACTCACACTCTTTTCTTTAAGGGCAAGAGCCACAAGTGGCTAAGTCACTTATGGTTGCATCTCACTGGCTGGGGCTTAGTTGCCATGGCCACAAGTAGCTGCAAGGGAAGCTGGGAAATGTAGTCTTAAGTTGGGCTGCCCTGTACTTAAAACAGAACTTGGGAGTTTTCATATTAAAGGCAGGAAGAGAGAATGAGGTGGATATGAGACAAGTACTGCCTTTGGCACAGGGGGAGGGGGAAGTAGAAACGACTGCTTCAGTCTTGGGCGAGCCATCACTGTTCTGAGTTTCTGTAACAGCCAGCACTGGGACAGACAGGGTGGGGAGGATGAAGGTCTCCTCCCTGGGGCCCCTCAGACATGTACCCAGTGAGGCCAGTAGGTGGTGTCTGCCTGTGGAATGGTCCTTATTTGTGCGTGTGTGTATATTTATGGGCATGGATGCATGCTTGGTGTGTATTTGTACATGTCTGTATCGATGTGTCCCTGTAAATACATGCTTGTGTGTGGGTGTGGGTTCCAGGCGTCCCCGTCCCCAGGCCCCAAGCCTGTGGCCACCTCCTACAGCCCCTGCCAGGTGGCTGAGGCCGGAAGCTAATGTAAAGAGGCATCAGGGTCTGTCTGTCCGTCAGTCTTTCAATGGAAGGAATGAGTATTCGGGTTGCCCAGCTGAGCACCCACTACCTCCCAAGACCCCCTGTCTTCAGCCTTTCCTCTTCCCCACCCTCCTTTCCTCAGCCATATCCTGAACCCCAGGCTCCAGCTGGAATTTTGGGGCCAGGAGAGAACATGTCTCTTTACCACAACATGAGGTGGGGAGCTGACCAACCAATCACCTCTAGTGAGCCTGCATGCCCCTGATGGAGCCCCTCCTCTGGCAGGTCAGCAGCCTCCCTGACCCCTGGTTCTTATTGGATCTGAGTGGTGGCTCTTGTGATTCTGTCAGCCCAGCCCTGCCCGGCCACCGAGGGGCCACCTGGGGTGCTGCCTCTTCCCCAGCCCTGTCCTCTCTCATCCTCAGCTGCTGCAGGATGAAGCCTGGCCAGCAAGTGAGGACGACTGTCAGGGCTGGGGCTGGAGACGCACCCCTAATCATTGTACACTGGGAATTGGGGGGTGGAAGCAGGTAGTAGGAGAGCCGGGCCACCCCCCAGCACAAAAAAGAAATCAAACTGTGAAGGTGAATAGCGGGGCCCCACCAGCCCCACCACCATGCCCACATTTCCTCTCCTGGAACCACGGCACCTGGCCTTGCCACCCAGAGAGTGCAGTTGCCCAGGGCCAGCCACAATCTCGGGCCACGTTGCTTGCCAGGGCATCTGGCATGGGAGAGCTTTGGGGGGTGGGGTGGGGTACAAAGGTCGCAGTCAGGATGGGGGAGACAGGCATTGCCCAAGCAGAGGCAGGGCCCTGAATGATGTGTAATTTAAGAACATCAATAATAATAGTAATATTTTTTTTGTAAGGAAAAAATCAATATGTACATTCTGAAATCATTTTCTCTGTAAATGGTTGGATTTCATTTCACCCTTAAAGGGATGCTAAAAGGAGAAGATACTGTTAATAATAAAACAGCTACAAAGTCTGAAGGGAGTGCCCGTGTGGTCACTTTGGGGGTTCCTTGGGATGCGGGCAGTGACTCCACAGTCTTGCTAAGACACCCTGGCTGTCGAGGGCTGGGCAGTGGAATATCTATTGAGGATCATGAGGAGGCAGGGGGAGGTGTAAAAAGCTTCCTTCTCCCAGAGCCTGAGAAAGGAAGGCTATGCTCTGAGACCCTCAAGGAGGGAGGGGCAGTGGGCCTGGTGCCAGGATAGAGGCTTCTGCTCTCCTGGGGGATGGGATGAATCCTTATCACCTCTGAGGGGAGGGCTCTCCTACAATTTAGTCCCTACTCTTGAGTGACCAGATTTGCTCTTTGAAGAGCAAAGATGTCAGCTTGAGGACTAAGGTGTGCCTGACCCAGGCCATGGTATTTTCAGTAGCCTCATATGCATGCGAAAGCTGGACAGTGAATAAGGAAGATCGTAGAAGAATTGATGCCTTTGAGTTGTGGTGTTGGAGGAGAATACTGAAAGTGCTATGGGCTGCCAGAAGAACCAATAGCTCTGTTTTGGAAGAAGTGCAGCCAGAGTGCTTCTTGGAGGCCAGGATGGCTAAGCTCCGTCTCTCATACTTTGGACATATTATCAAACAGTGGCTGGAGAAGGATGTCATGCTGGGTAAGATGGAGGGTTGGAAAAGAAGAAGACCCCCAACGAGATGGATCGGCCAGGTGGCATCATTGATGGACTCAAGTGTGGCAGCGGTAGTGAGGTTGGCCCAGGACTGGACGTTGTTTCGTTCTGCTGTGCATGGGGTCGCTATGAGTCGATTACAACTCAATGGCACCTGACAACAACTTGAATGACCAGAACAGCGTACCCACCTCACTGCCAGGCCACTCAGCAGAGCAGGGCCGGGCCCGACCTCCCCACACTGCACTCTATCTGGGGAGCTCAGGATGGTAAGCTAAGACCTCTCCCTCCGACAGAATGGACCTGGGCTGGTGCTGTGATGCTCCCTGGGGTCTGGGGAGGTGGCGGCTTCCCGAAGGTGGCTCCCAGGACTCGGGAAGCTGCTTGACCCTGGTGGTTGTTATTAAGTGTAGCTGAGTCAATTCTGACTCATATTGACCCTGTATAGGGAGGAGTTCCAAGGAGGAGCTGGTGAGCTTGAACCACCGACCTTGCAGTTTAAGCCAACATTGCGGTCCAATGCTTCTCTTACAGCGCCAGGCCAGGACTACCTTGGATTGGCCGGGGGCTCAGGTGTGTCCTTGGGAAGTTACAGGGGCAGTAGAATGGCATGCTCTGAGCTCTGTTGTGGATCCCTGTGCAGTCTCCATGGTAGACCAAGGGACCAGAGCAACAGGGACAGCAGTGTGAGGGTCTGAGCACTTTAACACCTGATTGCCCAGGTCTGGAAACACAGGACCACGTGGGGTAGGCAGCTGGGGTGGGGCAGATTGAGGGAAGAGTGAAGGGGATGCAGGTACCCCATCTATCCAAAGAGAGTGATGGTAACCCACCTGCCTATTAGGACCAGACTTCTGACCCTCCCATCATATCCCAGAGGGAATCCGCCTCAACAGAAAACACTAACATGTTAGTTATGAAATGCTTATTTTGTACCAAACTCGGCTAAAAGAGTTTTCTCCCCATTGTTCCCATTTTACAGATGTGGAAAGTGAGGCTTTCAAAAAGATCCACCACCATTGAGTCGATTCTGCATGGTGACCCTGTATACCTTTCTCTAGGGGGGCTGGCAGGTTTGAACGCCCCCAGGTCTCCATAAATGAGGCTTGTTGTTATGTGCCATTGAGTTACTTCCAACTCAGCAAACCTGTGTAGAGTTTTGAAGAAGCAGCTGATGAGTTTGAACCTCTGACCTTAGAGTTAGCAGTCCAGTGCTTATCCTACAGCGCCACACCAAGAGGCCTGTTGCTGTGGTCAAGTGTCATCAAATTGGTTCTGACTCAGTGACCCTGTATAGGGTTTCCAAGGAGTGACTGGTGGGTTTGAACTGCTGACCTTGTTGTTCGCATTCCAGTGCTAATCCTCCAGTACCACACCAGGAGTTCCCAGGAGACTTAGACCTGTCAAATCAGTGAGTAGTAGAGTTAGAATTTGCCTAACAGATGCTGAGCTCTCAACTCAAACCACACTCCTTCCAGCACCCACTGAAGATGGGACAGGGGAGAGGTGGGGAGAGAAGGGAGGGAGAGACACTGAGAGGACAGTCCCTGCCATCAGGGGACTGCAGGTAGCACAACTTCAGGATGGTGACCCATTGGGAAGGAACTTTGACCAGCCACTGCTCCAATCCTCATCTGTACAATGGGATTCTTGTAGC